GAATATAGACTAATAACATGCAAAAAGTAAACAAATTCACTTACCTCTCAAAATTTTCCTGGCTTTCTAACTATATGACAAGAGCCATTACAAATTCATCCAAGCTAGTTGTTAATTTTCCCATGGGAACGAATCTTGTACTGTGATTGAAATTGACAATATTCTGTTCAGAATACAACATTATACAGTACGTTGTTTGATAGATGAAAACCTTGACCACCAGAGAGAACTATCAATGAATTGTGAAAGAGAGGATGTGACAGGTGGGTGAGGGAGGAGGGAGGGGCTGATTTTCTATTTGATAGCTCTGTAACCAAACAAAATTGAAAGCTATAAAACTTATGGTTTGTTTGAGTAATAACTATTTTATAGAGAGTATTTTATGTTTAATTTCATACTTTTTCGAGGGGTGATGGATAAAATAGGGATGATAACATACTAAGAGAAAATGTGTCATGTGGATCACGCTAGTGGAAATTCAGGATTTTTTTAAGTATTGCTTTGTAGAATAAAGAACTTAAAACTTTTATACTATTAAAATATGGATTATTAGCTAAGAATGTATGCTATTCTAATTGGTATAACATATGCAAAAAGTAGTTTAATAAAATTTTGAATGTAAGACACTAAAACCTTGTGTCATGCTCAGTAAAGGATACCCAGGGTGATAGTTAACATAACATATTCACTTATTCATAAAACAAACACAACATACCTGTTGTTGAATGGCACAGTCTTGTTCTCTATCACAGTCAATACAAGAGGTTCGGCTTATGTCATTTAATGGTCTCAATGGGCCCTCACAACTATTGCACCTTAAAGCCTAAAGGTTTAAAAGTACAAATTTTTTTAGAGTTACTTCCTGTTATCAGCAAATGTAAAAACAAACCAAAAACTTAATGCTTCATATACATGAATTTATGTTGAAGGTTAAAATATTATACAACACCTTGGATAATAAATATATAATTATTTTATCATAGCAGACTAATAGGTAAATTAATGTAGTTGGTATGATATAGCTTCAAAAAATATCCTGCGAAAATTACTAAAATCCATGGCTAGTTATTTCAAGTCAAAACAATTACAGTTACAATTAGGGTGAAAGAAATTTGTTTCCAATCAAGTTATATGACAAGTGAGAAATATGTAGATAATGGTGTGTTTTATTCATTTGTTGATATAATTTTTTGGAAGTGGAAGTTTTTATTGAAGAAGAGTATAAACGTGCAAAAGAGAACTGATTTTTTAATTTACTAGATGATAATGTGCTTTTTAAAAGAATATTAGTTAAACCTATTTGTATCATTTCCTTATACGCATACAGGGAAAGGTGGTAAAATGAAGGTAAAATGAAAAAAGCACACAGATGAATAAACTTGTTTAAACAAAACAGTTTTAGTTGTACCTGAAACTTGTTTTCCCATTCACCATTTCCTTCACAAGCCTCACATTTACAGACAAAAAAGTATTGCTCTATTAAAGCCTTCTGACGATCCTCTCTGCTCATTCTTCGAAAGTGTGGCCCTATTCAAATTTAAATAGCTTGTAACATTTAAAGACACTAATATGAAAGAGAAAGGTATACGTAGCCTCTACCACTTTTCAATAAAAATAAACCTCTACTTTTAATACATTTCTTTACTCTTTCCATTCATTCAGTACTGCAATATTTATACAGATTTCATTTTAATTAAAATACAAAAATCAAGCTAAGTGTTTCTATTTTCTTCTAACACATCTACACTGATACAAGTTATGGCTTCCTCTATCCTATCATTATAAAAGTAACATTCTTTTTAATGGGTACTGAACGTGAATGCACCATATATACATCTGGTTAGCAAGAAAAAAACTTACCATAACAGTTATACACCTCTCCACCAGGTGAAACTTTTTTTACCACACGAACTATCAACTTGTCTTTATGAAAGCTACACAAACGAAAGAAGAAAAAAAAATTAAATATTCTTTTAATAAATATCTCGTAGAATTAACAATATTGAGGCAAACTCTCACATTCCATAAAAATATTGAGGCAAACTCTCACATTCCATAACAATATTGAGGCAAACTCTCACATTCCATAAAAATATTGAGGCAAACTCTCACATTCCATAAAAATATTCTCTAAGTGAATTACAAATGTTTTATCAATTTCTGTAAAACTTTCCAAGTGAATCAGCTGAGATAGTTATGGTAATATATATTTAATAAGCTTTCAATAAAAATTGTCTTCAGAAATTACTGAAGATAACCTCTCAGAAAATCAAATAATTATAAGTACATAAATCAATGTATATTAGTTTTTGGTTTCGAAAAATAGGTAATCATTATTATTACTTGAACCAAACTTGCTTAGTAATCAACTGTTGATGAAAAACAGAAGAAATTTACATTCTTATAATCACAAACCCAGTAAGATCAGTAGGATACACTCACAAACCCAATAAATAAAGTACAATATAGTTACAAATCCAATAGATATAGCAGGATATAGTCACAAATCCAGTAAAAATAATAGGATAGAGTCACAAACTCAGTAAAAATAGTAGGATAAAGTCACAAACCCAATAAATAAAAAGTAGTATATAGTCATAAACCTCGTAAGAATAGTACAATATAGTCACAAATCCAGTAAGAATAGTAGGATATAGTCATGAACCTGGTAAGAATAACAGAATATAGTTATAAATCTAGCAAGAACAGTAGGATAATTACAAACCCAGTAAAAATAGTAGGATATAGTCATAAGCTCAATAAATATAGTAGGACATAGCCATGAACCTAGTAAGATTAGTAGAACACAGTCACAAATTCAGTAAGAATAATACGATATAGCCATGAACCTGGTAAAAACAGTAGTATACAGTTAGAAGCCCAATAAATATAGTAAGATATAATCATAAACCAGGTAAGAATAGTAAAATATAGTCACAAATCGAGTAAGGTTAGTAGGATAAAGTTACAAATCTGGAACATTAGTAGAATAAAGTCATAAACCTGGTAAGATTAGTAGGATATAGTCACAAACCTAGAAGAATAGTATGATATAGTTAAAAATGTGGTAAGAACAAAGAGCAGTATAAAGTCACATACCTGGTAATAATATTGGGATCACATGAATGGTTCATCAGACTTGATGATGGATAAAAAGCTGTTGCAACTCTGACTTGTTTCTCCATAAGAACAGTTTCATTTTCAGCCTGGAAAGTCTGAAGCTGTGTTATTGCACTAGCATTACATACAAGCTGTTGAATATGTCTCAAACACAAACCTCCAGTGGCAGCCACCAAAGATGTCTTGTCATGAGAATTAATTAACAAATTCTGAATAAAGTCACTGTTATTAGAAGGATCCTGAGAATTATTTCCCGAGCTTTCTTCCTTGTTAAAAGGAGTACTTTCGAAGGAAATATCAGAACAACCATCAGAACAGGTATGGTTATCATCGCTACAGAAAAATCTCACCTTCTTCAAAAGAAGTAGCAAGAGTGCAGCAGTCTGAAAACATGAACCACACACATATAATGATTACATTTTTGCCAAGTTACATAATCAACATTTTTTAACTATATACAGGTGTTCTTTGGCAATGTCCAACTTTATGTTTCCACATTTACAAAAAAAATATTGTTAAATGAATGTCTAATCACTTGATTCAGCAAAATACACTTTGGTTAAATTTTATATTTTTTATTGCTTTATTTTGTTCTTAGAAATATCAAGTATTTTTTTTATAATGTAGTAGTTTCGTATGGTGTTTCTCACACCTCCAAATTCTGTTGGAGGTGAGTATACGGGAGTAGGACTAGCGCCCTAGTCTGGACACCGGGTGAGCATGCTTCGGTGTGACGGAGATTCAAACCCACGACCCGCAGATTGCGAGTCGAGTGCCCTAACCACCTGGCCATGCCGGGCCTTTTATAATTTTATGTAGCATAACACTCGCATCTTCATAATGCCACACAACAAACATAAACCTTTTCCCTTTCCCATCCCTTTTCATTCAGTGTCACTAATCCAATCTATCACACTTTTATGCAAAGAAAGCATAGTCTACAATAATATATAAAATCTCTTAACCCTAAAATTACTGGCTTTTTTTAAACCATTCAGTACACAAGAGGTCTACATCAAGTTGAATAACTATGTTTTCCCCTCTATCAACATTCACGTAATACAACCGAGTGAACCACTCATGTTCTAAGTAAATATACATAATGAACTCAAGCATTAATTAGTAAAATTAATTGAAATATTGGCAGCATTTTTGTTTAAATTATTTTGTGTGGCTCCTATGATACTAGGAACCCTGTAACCAATGAAGTCATGGACTCACAAAATGTGGGGAGTGAAAAGTTTATAAAATGTATTCAAAGAGTCATTATTTTACACAATTTGTGTGTTGCAAATTAAAGCATATTTTAATTTATATAACTTACTACAAGGTCAGAAACAGCAAACTACGAAAGTCCTGACAAAAATATTTTCCTCAACTAAACATCAGACAAAAATAATGAAATACTTAAATAAAAAGAATGACAAATGAACAACTGGTGTTAAATTTCTTAATTTACTCTACTCAATGTTTTAAAATACAGAAAGTCATTGGGACAAATGCACAAAGCATTCTATACAACAAAAGGAAACTACATACACATACAACAATATGCTGGTGCTTGTAGTTTTGTCAGTTCAAAGTAAGAAAAATATTTCTAGAAATAAACAACTGTGTAAAATCGATAAGATTGCTTTGTAGAGTTGTTCTCGAATAGCTTTTTTTTGTACCTTGAAGAAGGGTTTGTGCCAAAAATGTTGTTCAGAATAAACTAAGAACTTTATCTCCAGTTTGTTTTATCCATCCTTTTAAAGAAATATTTTATCACTGTTGTGTTATTTTTCCAGCTCAAATTTAAACATAAATATTATACAGCAAATTAAATATATCTTATACTCACCAAAGCATATTGAAAATTGTCTTCAACGTACATCTCTCGTGAATGAGTAACCAGGTGGTAAACTCTCAAGTAGTTCCTTATACAATGCTGTCTTTCTGTATCCAAGTACATTTCTTGGTCATCAGTTCTATCCTTATTCTTCAAAAACTCTTAATGAGAAAAACATGCTGATGAATAAATAAAACTGGTTTATTATGCTTCTTGAAACTTTTATAACAGGTGTAAATTAATGATGTATACAGAAATCATAGCCTTACTAAAGTCATTCTATTTTCTTAAAAAATAAAATTACCAACATTACTGTTCATAACAATGCTTGTGATAAATTTTACTTGATTAATCATATATGATATAAGCTAATTTTTCTTTGATATTTGTACATAATTAGTGTTACATGTAGTTATTGTCACATCAATTAGACAACAAATTTCATTTTAATGTTTTATTAGCCAAGTCAATTAAAATTTTCAACACCAATTTTATATCCACCTATGATGGTCCCGACCATACACAAATACTTTCTTATGTAGGCTAGTAAGTCAAACTGTGAACTTTCAAAAAAAACAAAGTTTACCCGCATGCGGTTATTAACTTCTGATCAAGCCAAGCTAGCTAGAGAGTTTAGAACTAAAAACTAAACACAAACATTGTGGCTAATTTAATATATTTGTCTAACCAGCAGTATGCAACGTTATCAAACAAAAACACTTCTGATTACAATGTACTGACTCATCAGTTGGGTATCCTCCTTAAATCATAATTTTCTGCCATAATCCCAATCATATCTCACAAGATCCAGTCAGCTCTTAATATTAAATTTAGGTTGGTCCTAAATCCATATACTATGCTAACAATGTAAAAAAATTGTCACAATGAAAAATAATATATATATATATATATTTATTAAACAACACTAATGATGACACTAATACTAAAGAATATAATATCTTACTTTATAAAACAAAAACTAGTTGTTTGCTCTGTGCATGTACTATCACTGACTCCATCTTCTAAGAAAAGCACAGATATATATGCAAAAATGAATATAATTCTCCCTAACAACATTTACAATGAGAGCTTATTAAACACAGTGGAACCTTAAAATAGCTTAAGATCTGCCACGAGTCTTATTACTGTTTAGCCACAGAGTCAGATAATAGGATGGTACAGATAGTATGGCAAAAAACCTAATATTTATGTAGATGAAAATAAATTAAGTGAATACCAAAATCATGCATTAAATAGCAAAAATATCAATGCCTAATTAAGCCTAACTATGATAAATGTAATATAAAAACACATTACGAGTTGTGTCTGTGAATTTTCATATTTGTGAACAAAATTCCACAAGTGTTAATATGGCAGTACTTTAACAACTACTGGATAAAACATTGATGATTCAGTATTCAATATATCAACCAATTTGAAACTGTATTTTCCTCTCATAAAACATTATTAAAATCTTACCAGATAAACATGGCATCCCAGTTACTAGAATAATACGAAATGCAAGATGTGCAATGCCTACCTGTAAAACAGGGGAGAAAGAGACAGATAAAAAATAACATGTACATATTATTCAAAAGAATTAGTTTATGGATGCACTGAGTCTTTCTTACAAAACTTACAACTGCATAAGTAGTCATAACTTTGTATTTCAATATAAAAAATTAGTTATTTATTAGAATGATAAAATCAACAGCTTAGACAACTTTTTACAGGAAAATACATATTTTATTTGTGATTGGAATTTTGTCTTGCATTGTTTATGAATATTTATATTGGGTGATTTCATGATGATAATAGATCATATTTTTACTCTGTTTTACACCTCTACAGTTTGTTCATTTTGTTGAATTTTGCACAAAGCTACTCAAGAGCTAGCTACACCAATCATCCCTAATTTTGAAGTGACAGACTAGAGGGAAGGCAGTCAGTCAACACCATTAACTCCTTGGTTACTTTTAACTATCACATTATAACACATCCATGGCAGAAAGGGCAAGCATGTTTGGTGAGCAGGTTCAAACCCACAGGTTGAAAGTCATGTGTCCTAATCGCAAGGCCCTAAACAATTGGTTTATAATTCAGTCGTTTTCTATTACAGTACGCCTACATTATCTATTGTAGTCAAAAGTTTCAATAACAGCTCAGCAGGTATGAGGATGGTTGGAATCTTGTCTTACAGTATTTATAAATATTGATATTGGGTTATTTAATATTGTCACTGTATCTTTTTAGTTGGGAAGACATACTGGACAAGTGAAACGTTAAAAGTAATGACATTTTTAATTTAAATGGGTTTTTTTTAAGGTGCTAAAAGAATGGTTACTTTTATTATATAAAAGAAACTAAACATTAATATTTACGGAATGAAGAAGATCCAGATTACCACATTCCCACTTATGGTACTTCACCCACGATTCTTTGCAACAATGTTCTGAGCAATATCGAACTTGAGAACACTGGTGACATCTGAAACAAAATGGTATAAACCAAAGTAGTGGAACACTTATTGATTAGATCATACAAATTTGAAGCACAATTACATTTCATAAAATTTTAAAGGGACAAAAAGGAGCTTATTAGCCCATCAAGGATGTCCCTTCCAGCTCCAAACTATAACCACCGCTTACTATTTGTGTATTCATCCAATCTTTTCTTGAACTCATTTAAATTTTTGCCTCCACCACCCTTGAAGACAGCTCATTCCAAAAGCCAACCACCCTGTTTGAAAAGTAAT